CACACACACGGCACCAGGCTGCAGGCCTTTAATTTTGGAACTGGAACATTTTCTTTAATCCGGTCTAGGCTCGTATAACACAAGGATGGCCAGGAGCCCACCACCCACCCTCCCAATGTGGCGCTCAGGCCAGCTGGTGAGCGGCCGGCCACACAAGGGCGCACATGGCTGTCAGGTAGCTTCTTCAAACAGGTAAATGGAAAAAGGTCATATTTATGTGTCTATCTATTATATGTATATATATGTATGTATATAAAACCATGGCGTTCTTCGTTCTGGCCCAAGATGACACTTCAGCACACCTCTGGCGCCACCCAGCAGGCACCCAGCACGTGCGGACCTTGCCAGGTCAGGGTCGCCGCGTGCGGGTCGGGGCCGCCCGGGACGGGTGGCGGCGGGGCGCCAGGTCACCAGAAGGAGTATGCTCACGGGTGGAGCTCCGTGTCCAATGTCTGCGGATGTGTGTGCGTACGTGTGTGTGTGTGTGCACGTGTGCGAGTCTGCAGAGTAGAAAACACCAGTTCATTCTATGCGTACTAAGCATGTTCAATAAATCTGATTTCGTAACTGAGAACACATTTTCTTTTTTTTTAAAAAGGAACATTGAAGATCTTCAAAAATTGCTACAGTACAAAAAAGGGGTGTGTGTGTGTGTGTGTGTGTATTTATATATTTATATATGTATAGTAACCAGAAACAGCGACTCTGGCGGAAGAGATTCTCGCTCCTGCTTTCTGTACGACGTCTCCTCGCGGCTCGCGTGGCTGCAGCTCTGTCCCCAAGTCCTTCGGGTCAGTACATGGCACATAATGGTATTATTGGCACGGGTTCAGAATCAAAGTACAAATCCCAGCGTCCAGCGCGACCTCCTTCCTGTCCCTTCCCTCCGCCTCCAGGTCCTTCCTTCCCTCGCGGGTCTGCTTCCTGCTCCCCGAAGCAGCTCTGGGAGAAGGCCGTTCCCATAGGCAACAGCATCTTTATAAAAATATATTTGGCCTACAGCGTCCTGCTCTGCGAGTTCCCCACCGGCAAACAGAGGTGGTGGGCGCAGGGACCCTCCCCTTACATAGTTTAGTTTTAGGTTTTGTGGGGGGGGGTTTGTAATTTTTGATTTATTTTTTTTTACAGGTTCACCAACGGAATCCTGTGTGGAGAGAAAACAAGAAGAGATTAAAAGGCAGCAGGCCAGGGGCAGGGCATCTCGGCAGCCTCCCGAGCCTCCAGCGGGGCCCCTGCCCCTGGCTACGGACACCCGAGAGTCCTGGGGACACCCAAGGCTGCCTCGCGGGGCCTGGGCACCGGGAGTCGGTGCGCACGCCAGGAATCCCAGGGGGAGTCGAGAGTTAATTACGGGGAAATTGGTGGAGGGGGGTCCCCCGCCTGTCCGAGATCGGGTGTGGGCTTCCCCAGAGGGGGCCAGACCACCCTACATTAACTGTTGAGGGGCAGGGACACTGCACCCCAGACCTGCAGGTGACTGAGCGCACCCAGCACCCTGCTTGCTCGTGGCCGCCAAGGCACAGAGGGGGGCCGCCAGCTCCATCCCTGGGCTGCGGGAAGCAGTGGAGTCCACTTCAGTCCACTGCACAGCTAGGAGCTCGCTGAGGCTGGAACTCAGGGGAGGTCAACGGACTTCATCAGAAAAGCCACCTCCTGGGTCTGCCCAGGGGCTGATCTTGCTGGAGAGAGAAAGAGACGGTGAACCACCGTGCACACAGCTCAGGTCAGCCGGCTGCAAAGAAGCTGGCGGCTCTCGCCCCACCTGGGGGGTGCCGCTTCGGAAAATGGAGACTCCAAGTCTTCCTGCTGCAAGGAGAGACCCCAAGGACAGCGTCCCCCTGGGAGTCAGAGAGCTTCAGCCGTCCTGGGCAGGGCCAGGGGAGTCGGGACGCCTCCCAGCTCAGCCCCGAGGGGCGCTGGCTCCAAGACGCAGCTCTGTGATGAGGGTGGGGCAGGGTGTCTCTCTGCTGTCACTCAGAGTGCCCACCCGCGCCCCCACAACTCCCGGAAATCAGGACCCTCAAAGGTGTGAGGAGGAATGATGGTGCATCCTCCTTCCACACAGACTAGGGGGTAGGTGCCTTCTCCTGAAGCAGAGAAGCCCCCTGGGTGCTCCTTGGTAGGACTTCAGGCTGAAGGGCACCCGGGTGTGGGGCACACCTGCAGGGGTGGTGGGAGCAGCGTCCCGGTCAGCACCGTCTCTGGCATCTTCTCCAAGAGCCTTGGTGGCCGAAGACCAGGGTAGGGGTGACGGCGCCCATTCCCTCTCTAGGACCCCTCCCCGTCTGGATGACGAAGGCAGAGTCACCTTGACTTCCTCCTACCTCCAAACGATGCCCGTTTGGGCAACTCTGGGAGGCCTCAAATAGAGCTTCTAATCACCTCCTGTGGGGTGGCCCGCCCTGCTGTGGGCAGGGGTGTCACCGGGTGGAATGGGACCGACATCCTGTCAGCTGTGTGCCGGACCGCCCTGGGCAGCTGCTCTCCAACCGTGCCCCGCCCCTGCCCCTCCTCCGCTCTCTGGGATTTGGGGTGGGGGGGGTTAGAAAGTGCAGTTGTTGAAATGAGAGAGGAACGTCCCTCTTGCATGTCTCTCTGCATTATAACCTTTTGAAAGTTAAAAAAAAAAAGTGGAGACAAATCCTCTGCGATCTCCCTGATACGAGGTCCCTGGAACTGTCAGATGCAGAGAGACGGAGGGCAGAGGGCTGGGTGAGGCGGATGCGGACACAATATGTCAGTCTGGGAAAGTGAGAAAAGTTCCGAGATGAACGATGGTGATGTTTTCATAACAACTGTGACTGTATTTAAATGCCACAGAACTGCCCTGTTTAATGGTTCAAATGGTCAGTTTTTTGTTATGGACGTTCTACGACAATTTAAAAATTTAAAAAAATATTAAAAAATACAGGGACCCTAAAAGCTGGGTCTGGTGACCCTCCCCCCGTCCTGGTGGCCTAGGACCGTCTTGGGTTTAAGCGGCTGCCCGTTGCCCCAGGGTGACGGCTGCTCTCAGATGGGCCGGGGTTGGACCGCGAGTCACAGGGCCTCCTTCCCTAAGAAGGGGGCTTTCCTCGGAGAGCCGCCGCCGGTGGCTTCCTTCCCACCCTTTATTCCGACCTTACACAGACAGACCAAGGGAGGCGCTGCTTCTGTTCTGTCTCCTGGGCTCTTTTCTTACAGACGTTATCTGCCACTTTGTTACTTAAAAGTCTTGGCTGCCTCTGCCGCGGGCTCCCTGGATCCTCCAGGACGAGGTCCCACCACCTCCACCCCATCCCCCCCAGTTACACTTCCAACTCCCAGTTTCCTCCAGTGGACTCTTCGGTCAACAGTCAAGTACAAACCACAGCAGCAGAGTCTTCAACAGGAAAGTTATCAACCACAGGCCCCTAAAGGACAAGACTCACACTGCGTCTCCGACAGAAAGCTGTCACCCTGGCCGCGCGGCCAGCGAGAAGCCGCTCACACCCTGAGCTCCCAGTTTCCCAGCAGGCTTTCACTAAAAACAAAACCCCAAACCCTCTCACCTGCCTCTTTTTCTCTATAAAATAACCTCTCCTCTGTGCGTTGGACTTACCCGTGGCTTTTGTAGAGCCTGCTTGTTCCAAATTGCAATTCCTTTGCTGTTCTTGAATAAACCCACTTTTGCTGGTTTAACAAAACAAAACAGAACAAAACAAAAAAGCAGCCCCTGTACCCTGGTCTCAAAGCATAAATCTCTGGCCTCAAATTCCCCACATCCCTGCTGACCTCCCCTCCCAGGGAGGCCTTCGTGAATACTGCCTCCTCTCCTAAACGTGTTCTGTTTCATTTCTGTCCATCAGGGCATCCGGCTCTGTGACTCCTCGGGCACAGGGCGACTGGCACTGGTGCCATCTGCACGTGTGTACGTCACATGTCACCCCAGGTGTCGCGGGTGCCCGCCGGGTCCCCGTGGGTTTGCCCAGGTTGCAGCTGAGCCTGGCCCGGGAGGGAAATCCACGTGGAGTGAAGCTCAGAGAAGAGGCATCTGTACGAGAGGAGCTTTGTCCTCGGCATCCTTATCTGCCAGAAGTGCCTACAGGTGAAGTCACGTGGGAGGATGGAGGGCAGGGCTCTGGGCCACTCGGGGGCCAGCCTCTTCCAAACCTACCAGCATCTGCTTCTCCCCAGCGTCTCAGGATGGTGCCAGCTCTGCACCTTGAATTGCCATTTGAACAGCGGTGCTGGCTTCTTGTAGAGGGGCTGGTAGGTCACCTGCAAGGAGGAGGAGGTGACCCCGGCCACGCTCCAGGCCGCCAGTTCCTGCTGCCTGCACTCAGCTCATGGAGGCGGCTCGGGTTGTCCTGCTCCGGAGGCTCAGCGCGAGAGCCTCTCAGCGGGGCACTGACCCCAGGAGGGCTGGAGAGAGCGCGTCCTGCCTGGAGGAGGGCACCGGCGGCGGTGTGGACGCAGATTCTGGGCCAGAACGGGAGGCTTCCGCTTCAGAGATCCGAGAGATGAGGACGTGGGATAAATTCTGACTTGGGAGAAACTAGTGCCCTCTGCTGCCTGGCGGGGGAGCCTCGGCTCCCTGGGCCCGCCGGGCTGCAAACCGCACGGGGTCCTGGGCTTGAAGGTCAGCGCCTGCTTGCGCAGAGCGAAGAGAACAGCAGGCAGACTGCGGTAGGGCCCAGAGTGCGGGAGCTGCGGCGAGTGCCCCGCACCCCGGGAAGGCTCCTTCCCCAGTGCTCTGCTCGGCGGCGCCGGTGCTCGGCGGCGCCGGTCCTCAGCCTGGGGAGAGAGGAGTTTCCAGAAGGGGCTGGATGTTGCTTTGAAGACAGCGTTCCTTTGAATTACAGAAGCTGGATATTCTGTTAATGTATTTTTTAGAACAACGCGGGAAGGCTCAGGTGCGTTTCTTGTGTTTTATTAGTTATGTCTCTGGTGTGTTTTTGAAGATAGTCACCACACGTGGTTCATTTCGCACTGGCTTCGGTGCAAGGGCTTTATGGCTTGCGAGGCTCGGCTCGGAATGATGTGGCCTTGGCCGGAGGCAAGATCTGAGCACTAATGAGGTTTTCTGAAGTTTACTTGCTAACATGAAAAATGACAGGAAATTAGCCCACGAGCCGATGGGAGGCATGGGTCCAAGGGCCCTTTCCTGGGAGCACCTTTTCTCATCCAGAGCATCCAATCGGGCCCCACCACGCAGGGGGTCTGGGGCTAGAGTCTGATGGAATCTATCGTAAGGGCTGAACCCAGGGAGACAGGCTTAACTGCTGCCCAGGCTGGGCTGTCTGCGTCCACGAGCCCTGGTCCTGCCGTCAACCTGCCGGCAGGGAAGCGGGCTCACTGGGGCGGGGCTCGGGTCCCCAGTGTGCCGGGGTCAGTATGAGCACGCAAGACGGGCGGTGGGTAACAAACAGCTATATCATCATTAAAAATGCATTTGGAGAGGCTTACCAGCCATGCAAGAGATAAATCTCTCCGCTGGCTCTTAAACCTTAATTAAAAGTTTTAGTATTAATTGCTATTTATTTAAGGGACAATAAGTGCATCAGAAAATCTGAGCCGTTCTCTGCTCCATCCTCATGT